TATATTGTATATATATATATATATATATATATAGTATATATATATATATATATATATATATATATATATATATATATATATATATATATATATATACGTGAGTGTGCTTGTGGTGTGTCTTGTGTGTGTTTGTTTTCTTCCTCGAAACCTAAGGGAAGTTGCCCTTGCCTGCCGTCGACTCGCGGCAGCGCAAACCTCTGGGTGCAGCTGCGGTAGTGACGAGTGAGGAATACGCGAGCCACCCTCTCCATGGCCGTGAGAGCAAGAGCCACGTTGGACACGCGTTCTCTAGCACAGATCATATGGCAGCATAGTTCAGTTGGTCCTCAATGGCTCCGAAGGTCCTCCAACGGACAAGCATATAGAGTCGCTTCGATGCCTGGGTTAAATGTTCCATGCTGTCTTAGGCAAAGTCATGCTTGAGTTGATACCCATAGGTAACCACACTAGGATCTATGTTGTCGAAAAAACAGACACAGTTAGGCTACCATGCTCCGCTGTTATAAGCACGTCCATGTTGTACCATATAAAGCGTGTCGGAGCAGTCCTTCAGGTTGCTAAACTTCAGGTGATCAACGAGGTGCTTACTAAGTGGCCCTCCACTGTAAACTTCAGGTGATCAACGAGGTGCTTACTAAGTGGCCCTCCACTGTAAACTTCAGGTGATCAACGAGGTGCTTACTAAGTGGCCCTCCACTGTAAACTTCAGGTGATCAACGAGGTGCTTACTAAGTGGCCCTCCACTGTAAACTTCAGGTGATCAACGAGATGCTCACCAAGTGGCCCTCCAACGTTTTCTCGGTGTGAGTGCCACGGGCCGCAGAAGTTCTATGCAGATTACATGGGCCACTTTGGGCAGTGCTGACACCGTTGAACCCCTCCATTGTGAAGGGCAAGTTTTGGTTTGTGGACATTAGTATTTGTTAGGAAAGCTCTCTTGGACAGGGTCTTTTTGTTTTACTTTTTTAGGACTTTGTATTAAGTTCATTTCCGAACAGCGAGGTGCACATGGCGATGGATGTTGGGCCGGCAATGGCAGTCGGGAGTCTCATCTCTTGCTACACACACACACACACACAAACACACACATAAACACAAACACACACACACACACACACACACACACACACACACACACACACACACACACACACACACACACACACACACACACACACACACACACAAACACACACATACACACACACAGACACACGCACCCAGACGCACACACACGCGCGCGCACACACACACACACACACACACACACACACACACACACACACACACACACACACACACACACACACACACACACGCACACACACGCACCCAGACGCACACACGCGCGCGCACACACACACACACACACACACACACACACACACACACACACACACACACACACACCGCGCGCGCGCACATACACACACACACACACGCACATACACACACACACACACGCACATACACACACACACACACGCACATACACACACACACACACACGCACATACACACACACACACGCACATACACACACCCAACCCCACGCACACACACACACGCGCACGCAAACACACGCGCACGCAAACTCACGCGCACGCAAAACACACGCGCATGCAAACACACACACACACACACACACACACACACACACACACACACACACGCACGCACATACACACACACACACGCACATACACACACACACACACACACACACGCACATACACACACACACACACACGCACATACACACACCCACCCCACGCACACACACACGCGCACGCAAACACACACGCGCACGCAAACTCACGCGCACGCACACACGCGCACACACACACACACACACACACACACACACACACACACACACACACACACACACACACACACACACACACACACACACACACACACACACACACACACACACACACACACACACACACACACACACACACACACACACACACACACACACACACACACACAGATATATATATAAGCTCCACTGTTGGAATTGACAAGTTTTATAATATGGAGCAGGCAGTTAAGGATTTATTGTGCTTTATCAAACGTTTGTAGTAAGTGTATAATCCTTCCAGTGAGTTATGACACATAAGAAACAAGTAATGTATTTACATTATATATATACATACTTAAATAGAGAGATAAATATACATATTTAAATAGAGAGAGACTGATTGGATAGTTAAAGGAAGGAAGGAAGAAAGGAAAGGAGGCGAGAATGAAGGAAGGAAGGAAGGGAAGAAAGAAGGGAGGAGGGATGAAAGGAAGGGAGGGAGGGAAGGAGGGAGGGAAGGAAGGAAGGAAGGAAGGAAGGGAAGGAAGGAAGGGAGGGAGGGGAGAGGAGAGGAGGGAGGGGAGAGGAGAGAGGGAGAGGAGGAGGGGAGAGGAGGGAGGAAGGAAGGAAGGAAGGAAGGAAGGAGGGGGGAGGGGAGGGAGGAAGGAAGGAAAGAAGGAAGGAAGGAAGGAAGGATGGATGGATGGATGGATGGGAGGGAGGGAGGCAAGAAGGAAGGAAGGAAGGTTGGCAAAAAGGAAGGAAGGAAGGAAGAAAGAAAAGGGGGCAAGAATGGAGGAAGAAACAAAGGAAGAAAGAAAGGAAAGGAGGCAAGAAGGGAGGATGGGAGGGAGGGAGGCAAGAAAGAAGGAAGGAAGGTTGGCAAAAGGGAAGGAAGGAAGAAAGAAAAGGGGGCAAGAGGGGAGGAAGGAACAAAGGAAGAAAGAAAGGAAAGGAGGCAAGAAGGGAGGAAGGGAGGATGGGAAGGAGGGAGGCAAGAAGGAAGGAAGGAAGGAAGAAAGAAAAGGGGGCAAGAATGGAGGAACATACTCGCGCACGCAGACACACACGCGCACGCAAACACACGCGCGCGCAAACACACACGCGCACGCAAACACACACGCGCACGCAGCACGCACACACGCACGCAAAAACACACGCGCACGCAGACACACGCGCACGCAACACACACGCGCACGCAGACACACACGCGCACGCAGACACACACGCGCACGCAGACACGCACGCGGACGCAGACACGCACGCGGACGCAGACACACACGCGACGCAGACACACAACGCGCACGCAAAAACACACGCACACGCAAAACACACGCGCACGCAAAACACACACGCGCACGCAAACACACACGCGACGCACACACAACACACACACACACACACACACACACACACAACACACACACACACAACACACACCACACACACACACACACACACACACACACACACACACAATACACACACACACACACACACACACACACACACACACACACACACACACACACACACACACACACACACACACACACACACACACACACACACACACACACACACACACACACCACACACACACACACACACACACAACACACACACACACACACACACACACACACACACACACACACAGATATATATATATATAAGCTCCACTGTTGGAATTGACAAGTTTTATAATATGGAGCAGGCAGTTAAGGATTTATTGTGCTTTATCAAACGTTTGTAGTAAGTGTATAATCCTTCCAGTGTTATGACACATAAGAAACAAGTAATGTAATTTACATTATATATATACATACTTAAATAGAGAGATAAATATACATATTTAAATAGAGAGAGACTGATTGGATAGTTAAAGGAAGGAAGGAAGAAAGGAAAGGAGGCGAGAAGAAGGAAGGAAGGGAAGAAAGAAGGGAGGAGGGAACAAAGGAAGGAGGGAGGAAGGGAGGGAGGGAGGGAAGTGAGGGAGGGAGGGAAGGAGGGAAGGGAGGGAGGGAAGGGAGCGAGGAAGGGAGGAGGAAGGGAGGGAGGAAGGGAGGAAGGGAAGGGAGGGAGGAAAGGAAGGAGAAGGGAGGGGGAGGAAGGGAGGGGAGGAGGAGGAGGGGAGGGGGGAGGAGGGAGGGGAGGGGGGGAGGGAGGGGAGGGGGGAGGAGGAGGGGAGGGAGGGAGGAGGGAGGGGAGGGGGAGGAGGGAGGGAGGGGGAGGAGGGAGGGGAGGGGGGAGGAGGAGGGGAGGGGAGGGAGGGAGGGGGAGGGGAGGGGGGAGGAGGGAGGAGGGGGGAGGGGAGGGAGGGGGAGAGGGGAGGAGGAGGGGGGAGGGAGGGGGGAGGGGAGGGGGAGGGAGGGGGAGGAGGGAGGGGAGGGGGAGGAGGAGGGAGGGGGGAGGAGGGAGGGAGGGGGAGAGGGAGGTGAGGGGAGGAGGAGGGGAGGGGAGGAGGAGGAGGGGGAGGAGGGAGGAGGGAGGAGGGAGGGGAGGGGGAGGGGGAGGAGGAGGGAGGGAGGGGGGAGGAGGGAGGGGAGGGGGAGGAGGGAGAGGAGAGGAGAGGAGAGGAGAGGAGAGGAGAGGAGAGGAGAGGAGAGGAGAGGAGAGGGAGAGGAGAGGAGAGAGAGGAGAGGAGAGGAAGGAAGGAAGGAAGGAAGGAAGGAAGGAAGGAAGGAAGGAAGGAAGGAAGGAAGGAGGAAGGAAGGAAGGAAGGAAGGGAAGGAAGGAAGAAGAAGGATGGATGGAGGATGGAGGGAGGGAGGCAAGAAGGAAGGAAGGAAGGGAAGGAAGGAAGGAAAAAAGAAAAGGGGGAAGAATGGAGGAAGAAACAAAGGAAGAAAGAAAGGAAAGGAGGCAAGAAGGGAGGAAGGGAGGATGGGAGGGAGGGAGGCAAGAAGGAAGGAAGGAAGGTTGGCAAAAAGGAAGAAAGAAAAGGGGGCAAGAAGGGAGGAAGGAACAAAGGAAGAAAGAAAGGAAAGGAGGCAAGAAGGGAGGAAGGAGGATGGAGGAGGGAAGGCAAGAAGCAAGGAAAGAAGGGAGGATGGAACAAAGGAACAAAGGAAGGGAGGGAGGGAGGGAAAGGAAGGAAGGATAAAGAAATGGGTTAACAGACATCAGGCAATGGGTTACAAAATTATTCGCCATAACATGGGATAAAAAATTTTGCATTATCAAAATACTTTATTTAGATACAGCTACTGTCTGAGACAAGTTAAACCCATTCATTAATCTGTGATTTTCAAATTACATTTGAAGAATATTGTGGATATTTGTTTGTTAAAACACCAAACATCTTGATATTGTAATATCAGCAATTTAAAAGATAATATTGTAATATCAACAATTTAATTAAAAGACTAACATTAAAATTACAAAATTACTGGTGTCTATCAATCACAAAATTGCATATCAGTATATTGTAAATTTAGTTGGCTTCGTATAACTTTTTTCTTAATTGCTCTGCTTGAGACTTGAGTTCCTCTGTAGCATCTGGCTTTAAAGAACTATGACAGTAATTATGTATAGCAGTGTATATGTCATCATTCCTTGGCAGATCTCCCTCGCATCTTGGAATTATGTGGAACCGAAGTAGCTGGAAGGAATAAATGCAGTTTATTTACCAATAGATTTTCAAATGCAAATGAAATTATTAAGATATTTCATTATTTCTGTCAAACAATTCACTATGGAGAAGTTTGTCCATCTATCTTATGACTTTTTGTTTTTTAATGGATTTGCAAGATTCTGATTTTTTTTCTCTCTCTCCTACTCATCCCCATGACAGAGAGCTAATATCCAGCACTGATCCCTACAAATATCCATTGACACCAGGGGTGCTTGTATAGGCCTACATGTAGTGTTACTTTGGTTTTGTTTTATTCATTTTGTTTACACAGATACTTCCATAAGTGTTTAGTCACAAAGTAGCCAATTACTGGGGATACTTAAAGTTATGCACATCCAAAGAGGGTATACCAATGCCCCAACAAAACATTTATTAAATATTTTGTCATGAGCATTGATAGAACCACATTAACCCACTCTATCTCAAGACTGTAGTGATCAGTTAGGTGTTCACCAAGTGGCCCTCCAGCATCTTCCCAGTGAGTGACGAAAAGACAGAAACAGATAAGATCAACCAGGTATCGTAATTGACTTCTTGGTGTCTAGACATTTGTACAATTATCTATTTGTAAAGATAATCAACAAAAAACACAGTGGATTGTGTGTCCATCTGGTGCCAAAGTACTGAATACCATATATGTACAGCCTAACTCTATCCTCATATCTACAAAATAAGAAAATAAATGTCTAGTAGTTCTGGATGCTTCTAAATACCCTCAGGAGTAATAAAAATATTATAAACTAACTAACCTGGCCATGAATTTAGTAAGTAGATGCTAAACTAAAACAATAATTCAATCACCATACATACCTCTCCATCTCCTGACTGATTCTTGCCACTAATGTACATTACAGTTGAAGAATCCACACCAAAATTGCTTTCAACACTCTTCTGGACCAACTGAACTGTCAGCAGTAAGTCTGTGAGCTGATTACAGTTGGCTTCACTAAAGTCTCTACATTTGTCTTGGAGACTAACACAAACATCTTCAAAGGAGTTAAGGTTTTCTATAAATCTTTAGGAAGTAACAGCTATGAATACACACACACACACACACACACACACACACACACACACACACACACACACACACACACACACACACACACACACACACACACACACACACACACACACACACACACACACACACACACACACACACACACACACACACACAGTGAACACATAACAATAACAACAACAATAATAATAATATCAACAACAATAATAACAACACCAACAACAATAATAATATCAAGTATAACAACATCTACAGCAGTAACAAGAACAATGACAACAACAATAACAACAAAAACAATGGCAGCAACAATAACAACAAGAACAATTAATTAGTAATAGTTAGTAGTATAGTAGTAGTAGTAGTAGTAGTAGTAGTAGTAGTAGTAGTAGTAGTAGTAGTAGTAGTAGTAGTAGTAGTAGTAGTAGTAGTAATAGTAATAGTAATAGTAATAGTAATAGTAATAGTAATAGTAATAGTAATAGTAATAGTAATAGTAACAGTAACAGTAATAGTAACAGTAGTAACAGTATAGTAACAGTAACAGTAGTAGTAACAGTAGTAGTAGTAGTAGTAGTAGTAACAGTAGTAACAGTAGTAGTAACAGTAGTAGTAACAGTAGTAGAGTAACAGTAGTAGTAACAGTAGTAGTAGTAGTAACAGTAGTAGTAACAGTAGTAGTAACAGTAGTAGTAACAGTAGTAGTAACAGTAGTAACAGTAGTAGTAACAGTAGTAGTAACAGTAGTAGTAACAGTAGTAGTAACAGTAGTAGTAACAGTAGTAGTAACAGTAGTAGTAACAGTAGTAGTAACAGTAGTAGTAACAGTAGTAACAGTGGTAGTAACAGTAGTAGTAACAGTGATGACAATTGTAATTATACATTATTAATAATAATGATGATAATTAGAAGCACTCAGAAAGCACATACCTCCATCAAGGTAAAAGAAGAAGAAGAATTCAAGCACCAACATGTATCTATCTCGCAATGCTAATAATGATAATCGTTACCCCGATTGACAAAGCAATATGGGTAACTGATTCAGTCATTTAAAAAATTCCTGGATCCAGATCACAATCTGGATAAACACAAAAATTTTATAGCATCTAAATTAGGATAAGACACATACACATGTTACAAACTGCATAAAAATCTGTATATAACTTTTTGAGTTACAGTACAAATAAGCAAACAAACAAATAACTAACACTACCAAAAACATAAACTCCTTGGCAGAGGTAATAACAATGACTATAATAATAATAATAGTTATAATAATAATGCTAACAGTATATATAGTTATAGTATTAGTATTATTAGTAATAATAAAAGTAATAATAATAATGATAATGATAATATACAAAGATAATCATAATGATAATAATAATAATAATTTCTTGATAACTTCTGGTGTTAAAGTAACTATGAATGCCCTGTCAAGGTAAGCATTCTCATTCATACCATTTTCTATACTTGTTGCAGTGACCTCACATCATAACCTAGTCTAATCATAATAATCAAACTAATTCACTGGCAATCAGCCTAATAAGCAATGCAAAAACTTAATGCCAAACACAACCCATTAAACTCCGTCTCTTAAAAGGATACGCCCTGGTAGTACAGGATGGGGCGCAAAATAGGCACACGATAATTCAGTCTTGACAACTAAGAGTTCAGGTGGAATGTTTATGGCACTGCTGTCAGGCAAGACTGGTTTCTGCAGCTTCAGACATCTGTAGAATGGTTAAGTATCATTATCAAATGTTAACATCTATGAAAGAATGGAGTGCAAATTTATTTTTTTCTGATTAAAAGCTTCATTTTATTTCACTTTTAGCATAGCATCATTTTTATTTGATTTAAAGACAAAAAATGTATATATTTCCTTTGAACTTTGCATTCTCCTTATTCTATATTGATAAGATTCTGTTCGGAGCATCACATACTTTGGAGTATCAACAGGTATGCTAAGACTAGAGTGGATATCCGCAGCTACATTCCGGAGTCTTGTGGCTTCCTCTTCCATCTCACTTGTCTCCCTCCATCGAATACTCCTATCCTGTTCATGCCCTTGAAGTTTCTCTATGCTTCCAGGTGTCATGGGCAGAAGATGCATGTGCAGGTGCTATAAAATATATATATATATATATATATATATATATATATTATATATATATATATATATATATATATATATATATATATATATATAATCTATTTTATTTGACAAATGGAAATAAATACATCTTGAAATAAGTAAATATATTCAAATAATATTCATTTATCAAGAAAAACATTTTCACATAATATGAATCAGTTTTACTCTATGCCAATGTTACATATCATGTAACCCCAGTAAATCATGAGTTGCACGTAAAGTAATGCAGGGAACCAAATTCCATCTTCTTGAACCACTATAGTTAATCTAAGATCTTAATAAACACAAACTACAATTTTGGCAATCATCATCTTCCCAAAACATCTATCAAACCTCCTTCAACATACATCAATAGTCTGGCCTGCAGATGGACCATCCTGAATCCCAATCTGATAGCTCGTGGGATTGTAGGCTTTTAAAAGGATCTTGAGAGTTTTCTGCGTCATTTGGGCCACATCGCTGACCTCTGCAGGAAGGAGATCTGCCAGGCGTTTGCTGGGCTTTTCAGGCGTAATAAGTGTATCTATATAAACACTAAGGAAGAATCACATAAAAAGAGAGATACATGAAAAGTATAAAAGTAGTATAACGAAAAAATACAACCAAAATGACCTGATGGATAGATGACAGAGAAGTGTACTTTCTGTACACTGAGTAAGTTTGTCAAAAGATGTGCATGTGTCTGCAACTCTGTCAATATCAACCCATGCCATGACTACTTATCAATCTTCCATCAGTCCATCTGTCTATCTGTCTGCACATCAGTTTATTTGTCTATCTCTCAATCTATGTATCTATCAGTATATCCTTCCATCCATCCATCCACCCAAAACCCACCCACCCATCCATCCACCCACCCCACCACCCACCCACCCACCCACCCACCCACCCACCCATCCATCCATCCATCCATCCATCCATCCATCCAAATCTATCTATCTATCTATCTATCTATCCATCCATCCATCCATCCATCCATCCATCCATCCATCCATCCATCCATCCATCCATCCATCCATCCATCCATCCATCCATCCATCCATCCATCCATCCATCCATCCATCATCCATCCATCCATCCATCCATCCATCCATCCATCCATCCATCCATCCATCCATCCATCCATAACTCATTCACTCACTCACTCACTCACTCACTCACTCTCAAGTGAATTATTAGAAGTGAGGGAACCATATATTTACGCTGCTCTTTACATTTTGACAAACAGATCAGACTGTTAAATAAACCAACATACAAATGAATACTTCAGTATATAGATACAATTTGAGTAAAATTAAGACCCTCATTTCTATCAATCCCTCACTTATTTTGACCATGAAATCACTCACTGAATGTCAAAAATCACATAAAACATTTTAATAGTAAGCTAAAGGATACGTCCGGGTACAACAGGCTTTTTATTCACAAATGCCTGGGAGAGTCTTGACTTTAGGAACACGCATGATCCTGGTACTGAGACTTGGCCAAACTGGTAAGTTACATATGGACTTGGCTGAGGAAGTAGTTGACACACACTGGAATATCAAAAGTAACTTTAAAAAAGATACCGATACAGTACCATACACAAAAGAGCTTCTAATAATCGGTCTAAAATATTATATGTCATCACCCTACAAAGTGGGAAGAAATAAAGAAAACAAATTTCCCCCTGGCAAAATAAAGTTCCTTTCTTACATAAACATGTAAAAGACCAATTTCTTTTATTTCTGACACCATTCTTCTACAAACCCAATATTGTCATATGTAACTTCCCTTGTCTTTGATATAATATCATTTATTTTTAACAATCTTGGTTCCTTACTGGGGAGTGTGTGGTGGGGTAACTTGCTCTAGGTTGTACAAATCATGCCGCCTGTGTGTCAAGACAGGCATCTCTTTCCTGACCTTCTGTAGGTAGTCCAGGTTAATTTCCGCAAGAAAGAAACATGTTCCCTCACTTGCTTGCCCAATCACAGCTCCCCAAGGATCTACAATCTAAAAGTGAATACATTTGAATGTGGAAATTACAAAGTGAAATAAAAAATGGGAAAAACTATCTAGTCAATTCCAAACTGGAAATAGATCAACTGGAAGACTGTACAGAAAACATAGTACTCTATTTAGTTCTCTTTATCAATATCAAAGGAAATGTCATAATGCATCGTAGTCTGTATTAGCTCTTGCAAAACATACATTAATTTCAAATCTATCAAATGCCAAATACTTACCATGGCATGCCCATATGATGATCTTTTGCTATTATGTTGGCCTGTCTGAGCTGCAGCTATGACATAGCACTGGCTTTCTGTAATATAAAATAATTATAAAATCTTTTTTTGAAATGCTTTGTCAATCCTCTGATCTCCCTTATTCTTGACTTTAGATACAAAATATGCATAAAAATAATATAAAACTGGTTCATGATTAACAAAGTTAAGCATTATAGACAACAAAAACTACTTACCTATAGCTCGTGCTCTTAACAAAGCCTCCCAGTGAGCTAGCCCTGTTGTCACAGTAAATGCAGAAGGGAATGTCAAGATCTCAGCACCAAGCTTTCGTTGAATCATGCTCATCTCTGGGAATCTCATATCATAACACTGGTTACAAGTTATGGAAAACACTAGTTTAAAAATGGTGGTAATCAAAAGACAAAGATGCTTTAGGAAAAAATTACTGTGAAATCATTAGTAAATCTAATCAAGTACCATACTAAGTACTTACTTCTTTTTGAGAAATAAGTGACATGTGACACTGTCTCCACAACATCAGGTATTTAGTTCTTTATAAGTTCAAGTTATCCCACCCTAACTTTGATTCTGCCTTACTTTCAAAGAACTTGTCTCATCTGACTTAATAAAGGATACTATCCCAAGAGCCACCTCTCCTACTGGAGTAGAAACAGGAGGATTAATTGCTTGGCCTCGTGTTGCATAATTAGATTCTTCTAAGTGAAGCTTCTTCTCAGGGATGTGAACGCTGAACAAGTGCCCCTTTGTGTAGGTAGATACAATGTCTCCTTTGTCATTTATTATGATGTGTGTATTGCTGATCTTCTCATCACCTTCTTCCTGAATGAGAAAAATAAATCTAAAGTGGAAGTTCTATACCTCACCTAAAACTTAAATTTCCATGTCTACAAAAGCAAGATCAGATGCTGTATATTCATAAGTCTCATAGTTCTATACCTCACCTAAAACTTAAATTTCCATATGGCTCATGGTTAGATAAGAAGAAATTACACAATAAATATCTATGAAATTACTGAATCTCCCAAGCAGCTACCTTATATGGATTCAGACTCATCTTAATCCTTCCTACCTTAATGTGAATGCCTCCCAGTGATAACCACACAGATGAAGAAGCAGCAAGCTCCCTGTATCTTGTAACCTGAGGCCCATGGATGGGTTCAGCAAGTTGGAGTGAAGCTTCCTTACTCTCAGCTATGTAGTCACAAGCTTCAGGCAAGAACACCATCTGTTTGCAGCAGGTGATATCAGGAAGGACTAAAGTTTATTTAGCAAAGAGATTACCTACTGCTAGGCTCTTCTCAGAACTAAAACTGTGGTAGACCAACAATGCTGTAAAATAGTGTAAATTTTTTGTATCACACAACTTATTCCAAATTCACAGGCTGAGAAGCAATCTCCATTCAAATTAATCTCACATTGAATATATTTACTACCAACCCTGTGCTAGACTTTTAGCAATATTCCCAAAATACTCCAATATTAAGACTGTACTCACTATTCAAACTGAACTTTAACAATGATACACATATATCAATTTCATTTCAAATGTTTATTTTACAGATAACTACAGAGTCTTCTAAGAGACAATTTCAAAATCATATACAAAAGAATCTTATCCTTTTTTTCAATATACAAAATTCTTCAGTGATAGTAAGCAAACAATCTATTCTGTTCTGTTCATACCTTTGCACCAGCTGCAGCTGCTCGTTGTACCAAATCAATACATGTCTTTAAATTGGTCTCTTTATCCTGAACTGCTGTCATTTGTGTGACAGCTAACAGCCCTGGTTTCATTTTGACAGTGCTGTAGACATATTAAAAATCAGATTAAAATATCAAAAATATTTCTTTAGTTATTCCTGTAGCAAGGGAGACTTTTGAGAACAACAGCATTCTAGAGGATGCATAAGCAGCACCAGTGCTTACTTAAATTAGACCATATACATACAAAAAGCTGACGAAAGTGATCTTAAGTGATCATTTTGGGTATCATAATTTTCTTCAAATTCAACCAAAATATAACCAATCATATTACAAACAAAATTTCAGAGTACTCACCTTTGATTCCTATTGAAAATCAAGTGTTGATATGCAGCACAATATAGCCTTTTCTTACACAAAACACTACCATGGGAAAAGTATCTCCTCAGAAGTAATAACATTTACAACCCTGTATGCAGCTCTGTAACAAAAAATGCATAATATTACTTTAACAAGCATGCAGCTCTGTAACAAAAAATGCATAATATTACTTTAATAAGAATAAAATAATTACAAAAACCTTTCACAAATCAGGATAATAGAATAAAAACCCTGAAATAGTATATAATAGAGACAACAGGACTCAATTTGCAACATATCTTCCAGATTTAGTATGTCAACTCCCATTCATATTAATTTCAGCATTTTTACTTGAAGAAAACCATCTTAGAATGCACTTAAAACCTTCATATTAATGTATCATACACTACATATGCCCAGAATTCTAAAAATATACAGTATTTTTGCAGTCCAAGCTATCAGTAATCACCATGACAGGGATGCCTCACTGAATGCCTTCCCTGTCTCATGCTGAATTGCATAAATCTGTTCATTGTATCTTTTTTGTTTCAATTCATTAATTTGTTTATTTGTTGTTTGATTGATTGCGTAACGCATTTTCTATGCATTTATATTAGATTTATGTTCTCGTACATAATATAATATATAATATTAAAGTTACCTCCTTATATTACACTCTGTACACATACTAGTTTACAGTCACACCATACATACATTTTTAATAATTTATTTATTTTTATTATGCCTTATCTTGTTGTTGTGTTGTTGTTTTTTGTTGTTTGTTTTCCTGCCTATTGTTTTTTTCTCTTGTGTGAGATATATGAAGTTTATACAGATATATTTATAAATATATAGACTGAAATGATATGCATAGAGGGGGCGGCGCTTTGATACTTTTTTCGAAATCAAAATAAATTCAATTTTTTCAGAATTTTGAGGAAAACTTTTGAGCCTTTCTTTTGACCAGCCGCACTAGCCAAACTAACGATCCTGCGAAGGGAAGCTTCTTCTTGGGGAAAAATTAGTCACCCTTTTTAAAAGCAAATGCTTTTGAATTTATTAATACTGGGTATAAAAGAACTCTTCTAGCTTTGCAAATTATTAATTTATTTTAAGTTTTTTGTTATAATGCTTTTTTTTGTTTCAGTGGCAACTTGTTTTTTATTACCAATTTTACACGTTTTTTTTTACTTTTTCTTAATAAATCAGCAACCAGATTTGTTGTGATTCTGCTGTGTCAGTCTATACACAAATGTTGTAGATTTGGTATGGAGATTACATGATACTAGATTATCATTTTGAAAAATCCCACTCCCACTTCTGCATCAGTTGACATTTATTTCCCATTTGTAATGAAAGTTAGGTACATAGAAGAAAAGTTTTTTAGCTTTTCTCTCAATCATTTCCATATTTTGTTAACCTTGCAAGTGAAAAAGAACCCATATTAGTGCAAGTTATCTACTATAGGTAAAACTAAATTTCCTTTTGTATATTCTTTACCATCCCTTGGCAGAAGTCATGGATTTGATAATCAGGAAATATGTAATGCTTAATGACATTTTCGAAAATTAATAAAGGAATTAAAATATTAGAAGGAAATCTAAAAAGCACAATCAGAGGTGAAGAGTAAATATAAGATAATTGAATTTGTTCTCAATATATTCACCTTTTTATGTACTTTATGGTAATAATATTTCATAAAAATGCCTTGCTAAAAATTTTTTACTTGTATGAGAAGTCCCTTTTTTCAAAGAGGTTGCTGTATGAATAAAAAGGAAAAATTTATGTAAAATACTTACTGAATTTATTTTGCTGTATTGTATAAGATATATGGCCACCTAGAATATAGGTGAAGAAGGTGAAGGTAGGGTTATATCACTTTTCCATCCAAATCTGAATAGGCTAGTAAAACCATACTTGTACCACATGCTTCTGATAGACAAAATATTGCAGGTCACAGCACAGTGTTGCATCTCAGGCACTCGGCAGACAAGTACCTTGCCCAAGGAAAAAAAGAAAAAAATTAAAGATGGACCATCTTTGGAAGATTTCATATCTGGAGAGGTATGACAAAGTTTAAGTTTATCAAAGATTGTCAGAATGTCAGTCTTTTTCATCATAAATGTTTATATGAAAACATACATACCATTTTAATGTACTTACAAATTTGTGAACTATGTAAAGTAATGTTATTTTTTATACATAATGAATCTTGAAATATTTATATTCTGATTGAATATATATGTTTTATAGAGAAATTCCTTTTTTATGAAATTTACCAACAAATGGAGATTGAATTTAGGCTTTTCCTTCAGGTGACCAAAGACATGAATTGGTCTGACTACAAGGGAAAGCTGAAGCGTGAGGCAGGAGAAAGGGAACGACTGAGACTCCCACCATGGTTGAAGCGTGAAATTCCTATGGGAAAAGAGTTCAGTAAGGTAAGATTTCTTTCTTATTATCATTATTATTATTTGTTGGTGTCAAGGAAAAATCTTTTTCTCACTTCTGCTACGAATAAAACCATGAATAATGACTTACTAAAACGTTTGATTCATCGTACCTTTGTATTTATGGGAATATATTTGTCATGTTTCATAGCTC